TTTTCGGGTTGAGGATGGAGTCAAGCTCAACTCCCAGTCCCACTGCCAGTTCCTGGAAGACACCTTCTTCAAGCAGTGGTACAGGAAGAAGTCTGCATCCTTCAAGAAAAACATGATTTTCATGCAGGACAATGCTCCATCACACGCGTCCAAGTACTCCACAGCGTGGCTGGCAAGAAAGGGTATAAAAGAAGAAAATCTAATGACATGGCCTCCTTGTTCACCTGATCTGAACCCCATTGAGAACCTATGGTCCATCATCAAATGTGAGATTTACAAGGAGGGAAAACAGTACACCTCTCTGAACAGTGTCTGGGAGGCTGTGGTTGCTGCTGCACGCAATGTTGATGGTGAACAGATCAAAACACTGACAGAATCCATGGATGGCAGGCTTTTGAGTGTCCTTGCAAAGAAAGGTGGCTATATTGGTCACTGATTTGTTTTTGTTTTGTTTTTGAATGTCAGAAATGTATATTTGTGAATGTTGAGATGTTATATTGGTTTCACTGGTAATAATAAATAATTGAAATGGGTATATATTTGTTTTTGTTAAGTTGCCTAATAATTATGCACAGTAATAGTCACCTGCACACACAGATATCCCCCTAACATAGCTATAACTAAAAACAAACTAAAAACTACTTCCAAAAATATTCAGCTTTGATATTAATGAGTTTTTTGGGTTCATTGAGAACATGGTTGTTGTTCAATAATAAAATTAATCCTCAAAAATACAACTTGCCTAATAATTCTGCACTCCCTGTAGTCATCTTCTGCAGGTAGTCATCTTCTGTACAGCTCTTAAACGCTTGGTAGGAAATCTTGGCTTTCCCCGGGGTAGAGCTGACAGGCGTTGGGATTCTTTCCCTGGCTCACTGACTGGCTTGGAGCCTGACCACCAGCTACTCCTGTACGTCCGCCATCAGTCGGGGCTACTGCTCCACGGAGGGGGTATCTGGATAAAAGGCTAGCCTGCTCTTCAGCCCAGTCAAATTCACTGGGTTCTGTTTCCCGTGTAGCTGCTGCTGTGGTTTCTCTGTCTCCCTCCATGAGTTCTGCCACAAGAGTCGCTTTTGTTTTATTGCTGCTGCTTTTCCCCTTGCTTGTAATAACTCTTTCAGTGTAGCCCGTTTCTATGTTGCATAGTTCGACTCCATTCACCAGTCGTTCATATATTTTGACATATTTACCGAACACTGGTTTTATCCGAATGGTTTGTTCCGTTGAACTGCTGCTTCTCTTCTTTATTTGTGTGATTACTGCAGAACGCTGGTTTGTTGTGTGGTTGAAATCCCGTCGCTTCCCACCAATTGTAGCGGAGAGGTAGTATAATCCACAGTATCTCCGCTGGTAGACAGGAGCAGCATACAATAATCCAGGAAAAACAAGTACAGCATACAATAATCCCGGTAGCGTTATAAGGATCCTTCCTTCCCAAGAACTAGACGACACATAGGCTGGGAGTCAACTGAGGTTTTATTCACAAGCTCCAGTATTTATGTGGTTTCCCCATTTTTTCAAGGGGAATGACACTTGAAAAAATGGACCGGTACTAAATGACTTGTCAGGAAAACTGGATGGCCTAGTACCCAGTAATGTAGAAAGATAAACATAAGGACCATAACCTAGTAGGACCCTGAGTAGCTAGAGCAACCATAACCACTGACCTATATAAACAGTGAGAAGTGAATGTCTGGAGTAAAGTTTGTTCAAAATTCAGAACGTTTCGTGGAACTGAAATATATAACAACATGGAAATAAGTTCCTGAGCAGAAAGGTTTATTGCCTAAACATACCCCCCAATAGAAGGACCAGAAATACTATTTTACAGCCTGGTAAGTAAGGGGATACCATAACCAATATTCTAAATAGTAAAATCTCCAATCTGGAAGGAGAAAAGATAGGTAAAAACCCATGTTCCTATATGATCTAACCATAAAAAATACAATAATCAACCTTAGTGGGCGGGGGGGGGGGAGGTGGCTTCACATAATACAACAAGTAATAACAAGTATGACCACCAGAGGTCGATATAACCAACATAAGGCAATTTTTAAATTAAACTAATTGTCAGTTTAACAAATACAAAAATAGGGTGTTCGGTAAAATATATGAACGGCCCATTAGAAGGGTTATGTGTGCATATAACTGAACACTACCAATTTAACGAAAAACCATACGAATTAGAACAGAGGTTAGTTAGTGCGCCGAACAAGTCATTCTTGCTCAAGCTCCCGAAAGCCTGCATGAACAAGTCAGTATTTAGCTGAAAGAATGAATAACCTAAGCATTTGTATGCCACGAACCATACGAAAAAATACACGAACGGAGAAGCATGTAAAATCATAGAGCCAGCCCAGGATGATGCAGAGCGACCGCAACAGCGGCCTTGACTTACGGTTTGGATTCAAATTGGCACCAGTCCGAGGTCAGTTGGAGCAGTAAGGGAGACCTGCTGAGTCTCTGAGGAGTCAGAAAACAGCGTGAGAGCCGACCAGGAGTTGCAGGACCAGGTAAGTGTTTCCACAAGTTTGCAGGATAGAAAATGTATATTTGCACGGACTGGAAGTTAGGGTATGCAAATCACCAGACCTGAGATGGTAGTGAAGAGGGGCTGGTGCTCCTTAAGAAGGGAACCGCGCCCCTCCCACAAGTTCAGGCCCAGCCTTCCATATATATCAATTGTATGTATATATTTATGTAATCTTTTTACATAATTAAGTGATTTTACTAATTACAATTTGAGGGACCTACCTTACAACATAGGCAGAAAGTCAAGAGTAGAGTTGAGCGAACCCGAACTGAAAAGTTCAGATTCGTACCAAATATTAGGTTTTTTGGACCCCGGACCCAAACACGGACATATCACTGTATGTTCGGGTTGGAGTTCGGTGTTCGGCGATTTAATGGCGCATTTTCAAGGCTGCAGGGCAGCCAATCAACAAACATTTGACTTGTGTGCCCTTAGAAGCCATCACAGTCATGCCTACTAATGGCATGGCTGTGATTGGCCAGTGCAGCATGTGACCCAGACTCTATAAATAAGCTGGAGTCGTGTAGCGCCGCACGCACATGCGATCTTATTAGTGTAAGGAGAGGATGCTGCCGCTGATAGGGACAGCTGAGGAAAGAATTCTGCAAACTAGTACATTAGTGGGGTGGGGTGCACTTCATATCTGAGAGTCAAATAGAAGCTTCAAATACCGCAGTTACATCAGAGTTTTAAAAAGTAATTTTTATTTTGTTGCTAAATAGTACATTAGTGGGGTAGTACATTAGTGGGATGCACGTCATATCTGAGAGTCAAATAGAAGTGTCTAATAGTGTGCTTTCTGCGCACTTGTAAACATTCTAATTGTTTTGCTGCTAATCTGTTAAAAAGTAAATTTTGTGGGGTGCACTTCCTCTCTGAGAGTCAAATAGAAACTTCAAATACCGCAGTTACATCAGAGTTTTAAAAAGTAATTTTTATTTTGGTGCTAAATAGTACATTAGTGGGGTAGTACATTAGTGGGGTGCACTTCAGATCTGAGAGTCAAATAGAATCATCAAATTCTGCTGTCACATTGCAGTTTTAAAACTTTAACATTTTTGGGTGCTAAAAAGTACATTAGTGGGGTGCACTTCATATCTGAGAGTCAAATAGAAGCGTCTAATAGTGTGCTTTCTGCGCACTTGTAAACATTCTAATTGTTTTGCTGCTAATCTGTTAAATAGTAAATTTTTTGGCCTGCTCTTCATATCTGAGAGTCAAATTGAAGTGTCAAATAGTGTGCTTTCTGAACACTTGTAAACATCCTAATTGTTTTGCTGCTAATCTGCTAAATAGTACATTTTGCGGCCTGTTCTTCCTATCTGAGAGTCAAATCGAAGCGTCTCATAATGTGGTTACAGTGCAATTGTAAACATTCTAATTGTTTTGCTGCTAATCTGCTGCTTACATTGGAGTTTTAAAAAGTCAATTTATTTTTTATTTTTTGGTGCTAAATAGTATATTTGGGGTGTTCACTTCATATCTGAGAGTTAAATTGAAGCGTAACTTTGATTCTAATTTACTACATCGGTCACTTATTGTTTCACACCTACAACACTTGTTACACAGATCTAAGTGATAGAAAACAGATTGATTATTTTCTACACTAGAAACTACCAGATAACAAGCTGCTATATTTAAACCAGTGATCAATAGCTAAGAGGTACTTCAACAATATTTTAATTCTGGGGCAATACCCTCACATGTCAAACGGAAAGGCCAGTTTATAGGGAAAACTGTTGCCTGGATACAATTCTAAAACAATTTCCATATGTCCTTTGCAGACTTTACATGCTGGAAAAACACAGGTTGCCAACTGCTATGGCTTTCTGCAGTGTGCATACCGGCAAGGAGGGCAGGGTTGAGGAGTGGGTGGAAGATGATGTGGAGGATGATGAGGTCCTAGACCCCGCATGGAATCAAGGTCATGCGAGTGACGTGTGCAGTTTGGAGGAAGAGGTGCTGTGGCACAGAGGCACCAGCACAGCATAAGACGGAGCAGTGTGCAAAAGCAGAGCGGCCATTCCCTAGCTCTCGTCAGCATGTATTAGCTCGAGAAATACCAGTTATCCAAGTAATACATGTAGCGATCAAAGGACCCATAATAGACTTGAGCAAACCAAAACTACAAAGTTCGGGTTCGTACTAGATTTAACGATCCATTCGTAGTTTCACAGTGAGGTGGGCAGTCCGGTGACCAGGACCCAGACACTGTCAGGATGTGACATTCACTTTAGCGGCTGTGCACACTTTTGGCATTGTCAACCTGTCTGCGCTGCAGCGTAACTTTGGCCTCACCGCCTCATGAGACTTTGCGAGCAGCAGCAGGCGATAGTGGAGTTTCAGCTGCAGCACGCACGGGTCAGTGGCTCTGCACCAGACTTCCCTCCAATTGATCAGAGTTAAAGGATTTCAAGTGGACTCAATACAATTACAGGGCCTTTAAAGAGTCCTGCATTGCTATTTGTCGTCACTACCTTCCCGCGTCGGGAGTGGATCATTTGCGCGGCTGCTGCCTTCCTTGCATGTGGTAGCCATTTCTTAGGGTCCCTGTACGGAATGGAATCCTGATTCCCCATTACTCGTGGTCACCATGGTAGGCACAGAAACTGGCATCGAAAGTTGATATGAATGACATCCGCATGCAAAGTCGCCGCCACGGGGATGTGCGATTTGCCCGAGGTTCTCTAGAGTCAACAAAGTTCTTGCACAACTATGCACCACAGGCCGCAAATGTTTATTTATTTGTATGTCCCAATATTTTGTCGGCTCCCACAATTTAAAAAAAACCCATAGAATACAGTGTTGGCTACCTCATCCTCCACCACCACGGTCACCGCCTCCTCAACCTATGGGTCACTTAGTATAAACTAGGTACACATTAGCAGAGGCTTGTGAAGGTCTTTTCTCCATGCATCAGGAGTTGAGCATTTCTCCATGCATCAGGACTGCAAGAAATGCACAACAGGGTGCAAATGTTTCTTTATTTGTATGTCCCAATATTTTGTGGGCTGCCACAATAAAAAAAAAAAAAACAACATAAAATACAGTGTTGGCTACCTCATCCTCCTCCTCCACCACCACGGTCACTGCCTCCTCAACGTATGGGACACTTAGTATAAACTAGGTACACATTAGCAGAGGCTTGTGAAGGCCTTTTCTCCATGCATCAGGAGTTGAGCTCAATTTGAACAATGAAAGAGAATACCCTGCACTCCAACCCTCTCTCAAATGGATAATTCTGTTGATCCTCCTGACAGCCATGCTTTAGACTTTGATTTATGTTCTTTCAAAGCTAAAATCAAAGATTCCATCTAGTGCTATTTTATGGCTCAGCTGTATTTTTTATTTTTGTGTTATTTTAAGTGATTTCTCTATCCACATTTGTTTGCAGGGGACTTGTCCTACTCTTACCCCCATTTTATTTCCTTTTGCAGCTCTCTAGCCCTTTCCAGGAGTTTTTTAGAGGCATTTTTGTGGCCAAAAGTTCGGGTCGCCATTGACTTCAATGGAGTTCGAGGTCAAGTTCAAGGTCAAGTACGAGCCCGAACCCGGACTTTTTTTCAAAGTTCGGCCGAACCCGCCAGACCCGAACATCCAGGTGTCAAGAGAATTTAATTTTCAAGCCCTATATTTACAATTGTAACTTTCCAAATCACCATAAAGCCTGTCAATGGAGGGTACTGTTTACTCATCAGACTTCGTTGAACACAAATATGAGTGTTTGAAAACAGTAAAACATATCATGATGATGATATTATCAGTAAAAGGGCAGTTTTTGTGTAAAATATGCAAAAATATATAAATGTTAACTTTGGCTAGGATTTGTGACTAAGTGGCTACTAAAAAAGAAAGAATATACCCCATTTTGTTTACCTGTTTACTTTTCAAAATGATATGCTATGCTGGGGGTAATTCTTTGTCCTAGGCTGCCATACGGTCTCAAAGGCAACATAATTAATCTGGCAAATTTCAATGTGCAAAAACAAAAATGGGAAAGTCTTATATTTGACCCTGTAACTTTCCAAAACACCATAAAACGTGGACATGGGAGGTACTGTTGTACTTGTGAGAAATTACGGAACACAAATATTAGTGTTTTAGAGCCGTAAAACATATAATGCTGTTGATATCATTGGTGAAAGGGCAGTATATTTGTGGAAAATGCAAAAAACAAATATGAACGCTAATTTTGGCCTGTGTTTGTGACTAAGTGGCTATTAAGAAAGATTGGACATACCCCATTTTGAATACTCTAGGTCAGGGGTAGGCAACCTTTTAGTAGCACTGTGCCGATATAGGATGGTGATGTCCTGTAGCGTGACGGTCCTATTTTTTTAAATTGAGGTATGTATGCTGCCGTATTCTGCTTGTGTTATTTTTATTGCAGTTGCATTGTATTGTTGTATTTGTGCGTATAGGAGCTATTATATTGGGATTGATATGTCACATTTTGTGTTTGGTAGTGTGTGTATGTGTGGGGGCTGTTTGTGGTATTGCATGTGAGAGGCTGCATGTGGGGTTGTGTGCATGTATGTGGATTGTTAGCGGGTTACGTTTGTGCGGATTGTGTGTGTTTGTTTGTGGGCCGTTAGTATTATTTGTATGAGGGGAGGGTTATTCTGCATTTCCATGTATATCTTGCAGTGTGTGTGGCTTCCCTGGGTTCCAGTGGGGACCAGGCTGGCCAGATACAGGTCAAGGACAGGACCTGCAACAGCAGCTGTGGGCTGCTCTACTACAGTGTGGATTCCCATTCACAAGTGCTGGGATCACTTCCTCTATGTACTGCAATGCTTAAATTGAGGATTGTCCTTCACCACCTCTTCGTATTAGCAGATATCTGAAGTTTTACTGGGACTCCTGATAGGCCAGAGCCTGTTTGGCTGTAGCAGCCTGGAGTGCCGTGCAAATACACCTTGAGTGCCGTGCATGGCACTAGTGCCATAGGTTGCCTACCCCTGCTCTAGGTTGTCTACTTTTCCAAATTGTATGCCATGATGGGGGTCATTTTCATTCCTGTGCTGCCAAAGGCAACATAACTAATCTGGCAAGTTTCAATGTGTAAAAACTGGATGGGGGAAGCACTATATTTGACCCTGTAACATTCCAAAACACCATAAAACATAGACATGGGGGGTACTGTTGTATTCATGAGATATTGCGGAACACAAAAATGTGCATTTAATTGCAGTAAAAACTAACAATAAAATGACATTCACAGTTAAAATACCACACAGAACAAAGAAAACAACATTTCTTTATTTCTCACACTTTATAAGATTTTATTCCTATAAAATTATGTTTCATATAAAAATATTTGATGTACAAAGAAAGCCATGTTTCTCTTGAACAAAATAATATATATTAAGTGTGGTTTCACTTAATATGAACAAGGTGAATTACAGTTGAACAGACATATAGTCAAATTTTAGGGTTTGCTTTGATTTTGTTTTCATCTGAACGTGTACAATAGCCTCCGTCTCTAAAGGGTTAACATGCCATGTGTCTGAGTATTTATGTTTTGAAAGCCTTGAATATTTTATACCTTTCATTAAACGACAAATAGATGGATGTTTACTTACCTGAATTCCATTAATACACACATAACCTGCAGAAGCAGCTGAACAGTACATATGAATATTTCTATATGCTTTTCCTTTTTTGAAAAGTGAAGTTAAGAAACAAAAGCATGATTTCAGATGGGCAGGAGCCATTGATCTTTCCTAGCACCAAATAGACAAAACATGACATGCATTTTTGTAAGATTTTCGTGTGCCTAGTGTCCATGCTTTATGTAAGACAGATAAAGTTATCCTTAAATGCCACTGATTTCTTCAAATCTCCCAATATTAACCAGAGATAAAGTAAATTCAGTTGTATCTGAGGTTCAGTTGTATCTGAGGTCAGTTGCATCTGAGGTTCAGTTTCTGATGTCTCCCTTCCAGATCCACTGTTAAAAACAGAGACTACTGTATCAGATATGGGATATCTATTGAATCTCCAACAGTTGTTTGAGATTGCCAGAATAGTGATATCTAGACATGTGAATTCAGATTTGGCCAAATTTAAATATTAAAGTCATTTTTTTTTCTTTTCAACCAAATCAGAATATTGGTTGATAAATTACTGAATGACCATAAAGTGTTTTTTGGTGCCATTCATTCATTTTGGTGGTCGATTGCTGCTCTACTAAGTACATAGAATATATACCCATCACTTCTTTTTAAAATGCACCAAAAATAACACTAATACTTGCTCTTCCAAACGTTCAACCAGGCAGGCTTGCAATGTCAACATTATAGTGTTAATTTTACCCAAATGTAATCATCATACTGATAAAATATAGATAATATCTAGTATGTGTGCGCATTATGTTATTGATATTAGGTGTATTATACACTTTATTGGTTTGTTGTGACTACCACATTTTGGATTCATTAATCCTCTGTAGTGTATAACTGTTGTCTGCAATTAGGACAAAAATAGAAAATTAACTAAGATTCTTGAAGAATGAATCAATAATTTTCAAATATCATCCAAACCTGACATTTGACACTTACGTAACCACATTGAACTGAAACATTTTGTTTTTGCATGCACATATCTAGTTTTATTACCACTATATATTCACTTTCTAATTTGTAAAATTATTTCAGATGTTTATTGAGAGGGAATGGATCCAATTTCCAGTTTCGTGGAACGCACAGTGTCACACCGAAAATGACCCAGCGGGCTTGTATGTGTGTAGATAATAGGACGACCTCAGAGTTCCTGTGTTCCACTTTGGAACGCACGCGTCACATGAAGAGTGACGTGGCATAGCCTCGTACTTAGTGGTCTGAATAGACTGATGGGGTGCGTAGTTAGAATGCACGTATCATCAAAATGGCGTACGCTGAGTTCAAGAAGAAATTATATTCAGAAGAAATTATAGGATCAAAATTAAAAGTAGATCCTCTAAAAGTGTAATGTGGCTTCTAAAGAATCCTTTTATATATAGAGAAGTTAATCCTCTCTAAGAATGCTCAATTTAATTGGTTAAAATGAAATAAACATATAAACATACTATATAGCTATAAATTCCATATTTTTTATAAGTAAAGGAGTCCAAATAATATTGAAAGACAAAAATAATCTATATATGTAAATATTTGGAGATCATAAAAAGACATATAGACAATACAGATATATACATAATTCGTGACAGTGATCCATATTGGCTATTAATACCTTAAAAGGTAGTGTACAATAGCTGAATATGGTTATAGAGAACATTGCATTGAAAACAGTACTGAATAGGGAGTGTGGTAGGAGAAGGCTTGTAAAAATGGATGGGAGACTAATAGTCATGAGATGGCTAGAGGAATAATTTGTAAAAAAAAAAAAACGAAATAAATTACAAAAAAAAAATATAAAAAGAATATAATATGCATGTGGACATAGATACTGAGCATATTTAAAAAATAATAAATATCAAAGAGGTAATAGGAAATTGTAAAAAGAAAACATTATAAAAAATATTGTGAAAAAATATAATAAAAAAAGTTTCACTTTGGAACGCATGTGTCACACGAAGAGTGATGTGGCATAGGCTGGTAGTTAGTGGTCTTAATAGACTGATGAGGCACATAATTGGAACGCACATATCGTCAAAATGGCGTACGCTGCCTTCCAAACGCTGTTCCTATTTCAAGTCTCTTAATAGTCCGTTGGAGAAGAAATTATAGGATCTAAATTAAAAGTAGATCCTCTAAAAGTGTAATGTGGCTTCTAAAGAATCCTTTTATATATAGAGAAGTTAATCTCTAATTGGTTAAAACAAAATAAACATATA